CCGGTGCCCGGCGCCCCGCAGCGGCCAGGCGGGATGCGCAGCCTCGGCCCGAGCCCGGGACGCGCTCGGGCGAAGAGGAGGAGCCAGGGGCCCCGAGCGGGTGGAGTCGGGAGCCGGAGAGCGGTGGAGTCGGATTTCTTGGGCCCGGCTCTCTGGGGCTACCATGGCGTTTGGGAGGAGTCACCGGGATCCCTATGCGACCTCCGTGGGCCACCTCATAGGTAAGGAGGCACGAGGGGAGACGCCTGGATAGACTTTGGGGACTGGGGGACCCTTCCCGCTGGACTCCGTTCTCGCCCTGCGGAGGGCGGAGTTGGTCCAAGTTTGAGGACAATCCCTCCCCTCCCCCTACAACTTTCCCAGGGCACTCGCCTTCCACCCGGCCTCTGAGGCATTTCTTTATAGTCCACTCTTTCTAGAACCCGTCCTCAAAATCGCCCTTTTGATGTCTCCTGGGGAGTGGCCCGAACAGGTGACCCACGCACGGGATTCAGGTGCGGAGTGTTTGGGCCTCTCCAAGGAAAGAGCGTAGACTCGGCCAGGGGAAGGGTGTTCATCAAGTGCGTTCACTCGAGGGCACGGTATTGTTATGTCCGCTTTACAGAGGGGGAAAGGAAAGCTCAAGGAGGTGAAGAAGTGATGTGACCTCACTGTGACAGGCAGGTCTCTCCAAACCAGTTCTCTCTGGTGCCGGGCCCTTACAACCTGAGTTAATCTGAGTAATGTACGCGGAACCAGAAGCCAGTGACTGGGCAGTTTTCCCAGCACCAACTCCCGCCTCCCTCTTCTCCCTGATGTCTGCCTTGGGGACCCGGGTGTGGCACGCGCGCCTATCAATGCTAAGCAAAGCATGATAATGTCTGGAACTTAGTGGGGGTGAGGAAATGTGAGAACCTGGTAGTTCCAGTGAGGAGGCTCAGATTTGGAGTTTTGGTCGCAGCTCGATTAACTGCTGTGTGACATGGAACTCGCCACTTATCCTGAACCTTACTTCCCACATCTTTATAAAATGGTGAGAGTCACTATCTTTGAAGAGAGAATGCTTTCTAATGTTGCTGGATATATCCCTATTGAATATTAAAATGAACCCTGAGCAGAAATGGATTCAGACTGCATCATTGTAGGCTGATTAGTTCTTTAATGCTGTAAACATTTACTCACTGCCAGCTGTATACTTGGACCTGGCGCAGGCAAAGGTAAGACCTGGTCTCAACCCTCAGGGAACGCAGTCTTGTAAGGAAGATGGACACAGTTTTGTAGTGATAATATGGTATCTTTGCAATACAAGAAAAATGTAGAACACCCAAAATTTATGAAAATGGAGAAATTAACTCTGTCATGGTTTTTGAAGGGTGAATAGGAGTTTTCTAGGACGATGGAAAGGTGGAAGGAAGACCAAGGAATCAGGCAGAAGGAACAGCGGTATGTGCCTACACAGCACAGGGTTGGTTAGCTTTGTCCATTGGATGCCAAATTCAAATAGCTCCTTTTCTGGATGGGAAGCAGGCTAAGCTTTGGGATTCCCCCAACCAAACCTTTATTCTTGATCCCCCTTCATTATCCTTTTTCATTTTCTCTTCATTCCCCCAGGACCCCTTTTTTCATGTAGGAAAGATGTTAAACTCGTTTAGTTTGAGTGTTCTTTTACCCTTCCCAAACAGCATTTTGTATTCTTGAGGATATCTGGAGAGGGAAAAACATCTGATTCTTTAATAATGGGGTTCCAGGAGGTTTAGCCGGCCTCGCTGGCCCTGCAGCCAGGTGTTGTGCCTGCAGTGTTTGTTAATAGGTCACCCATTACTGTTGCAACAGCGGCACCCTGAACTTGACTTCTGATTGATTCCTGAATTCTTGGGAATTGCTGAGAAAAAAAGCTCTTTGCCCTTTGGTAACATAAACTCAATGGTACTTGCTAGTGAACTGCAGGCAGATTATTCCAAGAAGACCAGACATTTCTTATTTTGTTGTAGCTCAGACTCAACATAACAGCTTATTGTTTGCAGAAAAGGCTACATTTGCTGGAGTTCAGACTGAAGATTGGGGTCAGTTCATGCACATCTGTGATATAATTAACACTGCCCACGATGGGTGAGTACAGTGTTTGGTTCGTGCCTTTGCCTCTGATAAGTAGCATCAGAACTACAGCACATTTTCTCTTGCAAACTCTTTGGTTTTCTTGTTGAAAGTGTTTTCATCACCCCTTAGGCACCCGCTGCCTTTTGAAGACATGTCAGCTTGAAATATTAGGACAGCTGCTTGTTTCAGCCTGTGGAATATCTGAGAATCCATTATAATTTTTCTCCTCTTTGCCTTTTCCTGAATAGTTTCAAGTTTTGTCTCTGTGAGCCTCAAATTCCTTGTTCTTTAAAGAGAGACAGATTGTGCTTTAGAAATTCCCCCTGCTCTGATTGCCAGTATTTTATGTTACTGTAATTGAGAAATATTGTCAAGGAGCTAGTGGACTCCTGGGGGTGACCTGTCTCTGGGCAATGGTCATTACTAACCAGGAAATAATCTACCAGTCTTTTTTCTCTCTCCCTGTCACAAGACAATTTTTTTCTTCCAAGTGCCAACTCACCCATGTTCATGCTGTATTCTTAAATGACATGCTATCTTTTATTATACTTTTTAAATTTTAGAGAATTAAAGTTTTAAAACTCATTAAGAAGGCCAACTATTTTGTGAATTTAGTCTGAATTACAGGTTGTTATAAGGGATACAATTTTGTTAATTTTCCTGTGCATATTAAAGTGATAAGTGATATGAGCGTGGGGGGTAGTCACAAGGGGTAAAGGAAGACTTGTATATGGTGATCAACAAACAAAAATGTACAACCAAAATCTCACAATGTTATAAACTATTAAGACATAAATAAAAAGAAAAAGTGATAAGTCACAGCAAAACAGATTTAGTCTAGTTTATGTTGATGAAAAGCTTAATTATTGGCTATATCAATGGAAAGTGCTTATGTTAGTAATTTAAAGTGTCAGTGTTTTCTCTATAATGTTGTTTACCATATTTGGTTACTCTGAATCTTTTCTTCACTGATAATACTAATTTCTTCATTGATAATACAAAAAGGGAATCTCAAAATTATTTTTCCTTTTAAAACAGTATTTTTCTTCTTTTAAACTCGTCCAAAAGTTTAATCCTAGATTTTTAATAAGATTTTTTAGAAATATAGATATCTATAAAATATTGTATTTTAAAATAGTTATAATTCTATGTAAGCATATGTAATATTATATAATTATATTATCATATAATAGAAATTCTCTCCACGCAAACATAACAAAATTGGAAAGCAGTGTGTAAAAAGGATTTGTATCTTTTTTTTCAGTTTTGAGATAAAATTGACATACAGCACTATGTAGGTGTAAAGTGTACAGCATAATGACTTGTCATACGTATATTGCAAAATGATTACCAAGTAAGTTTAGTTAACATCCACCATCTCATATAGTTCCAAAAAAAAATTTTTTTCCTTGTGATGAGAACTTTTAGGATCTACTCTCTTAGCAACTTTCAAATATACTATACAGCAGTGTTAACTGTAGTCATCATGTTGTGCATTACATCCATGACTTATCTTAAAACTGGAAGTCTGTACCTTTTGACCATCTCAAAGTAAATTTTGACCCTCTGCTTATACATAGTTCTTCCTTTTGTAACATAAAGTTGTAGCATATGAGAAGTTGACCTAGTTAGTTGTAATTCCTACTACTTCCCCTTGCCTATAGGGTGCTCAGGAAATACTAATAGTCTTAATTAAAATGGGTAACCTTCATTGTTTTGGAAATTACATTTCCTATAAACTGGTTCTGTGCATTGATAGAAAGATATCGATATGAGTACATTTCATGTGGAGTGCTTTCTAGGTAATACTTGTATGTAAATATTTTTATTCCCACAAGTGGGTAGGTAGTATTGTATGAGGAATCAGGTGTGAGAAGTTAAGTGATCTGCCCAGGGTCACGCAGCAGAACCAAGGCCTTGGTCTTCTCCTTAGCCATTCCTCTTTCAACAATGCATATTGCTTTTCAGAGACTATTTGTTTTCAGCAGTTCCTAAATTGATGATTTCACTGTATTTATTGCTGTAGGCCAAAAGATGCAGTAAAAGCTTTGAAGAAAAGGATTTCCAAAAACTACAATCATAAAGAAATCCAACTTACCTTGTCAGTAAGTACTTTAATGTTATAATTATAAGACTCTAAGATTTCCCAAGCAACGGTCACATTTTTAGTTTTGGGTAAAAAAAATATAAATATCCTGGGATAATTAATAGGTTAGCAAAAAGTTGTTTGCCATATGAATTAAAACTTTTTGTTTATTGAGAATTGCAGAATCAAGAGTTTTGTTGATTGTAATAGCATTTACTTTTGTGGAAAGAGAGTGTTCCTGGCAAATCAGTTTTTCCAGGTCAGGAGATGGAAATTGGTCACAAAAACTTATAGATACTGAGCCGATCAAGAAGTTGTGTATGTGTTATGCATGGGGAGAACTGAAGTCTTGAAAAATCCCTCCCATCAGCTTTCTACCTCACTTGAACACCTTTCTGGAATTCTGAGATGCTGGCAGCTTGTTAAGTTTCAACCAAGTTCTTCTGCTTGGTATTATTTGGAGAATGTTCTGTGTTGATTTAAGCAATTCTTTTATGCGCCCTTGGGTGTGGACACTTATTTGACTTGTTCCCATTTTCCCCCCATCCTTGGCCATATGACCTCTTCAGTCACTTTGGTGAGTTGCCCTTTTTCCTTCAGTATGTTTTTGCAAGCCCTGCCTGCTGCCTGAGAGTGAGCTGTGTGGCTTTCTAATTTCTTCTGCATGCCTTTGTTTCCCTCGGCCCAGCCCCAGGCCCTGCATGGTTATGGCACCATTCAGCCAGGGGTCACACTTCACACTGGTCACCCTTCACACTGCTCTTGGGGACTTTGAGAGTGTTTATCCAGACGGCTATGGGGCAGAGGTGAGCACAGCGCCCATTTTCTAGTTTCCAGAGGAAGACAACTTATCACCTCTTGCTTACTTGGAGAGTAACTGAATGAGAACAAACGAATTGAACAGTCTTAATGATGCTATCACTGAAGAAACCCTTCAAGTTGGGATCTGAATCAAAAAACTATTTTTAGAGGCATTTTCCTCCTTCACCTTCTTTTGACCTCTCCCCTGTTCTTTACTCATAGCAGCCTCCTCAGGGAGGTCACAGAATGGAGAGAACTCTGGAGAGAGGAGTAAGGCACTTCAGTAGAAATATCACAACAATGGGTCTATAATAGAAATAAACCTTTGCCTGGCACCTGATTGATGCTCTCGGCAGCTCTGTGAAGTAGTTGTATTATTAACTCCATTTCACAGATGAGGAAACTGAGACTGAGGTTGTGATTTTTTTTTTCCTCAAGATTTGAGTGCCATAGGCAAGATTTCAACCTAGTCCTCAGATTCTAAACTCCATGCCCTTGCCCCATACCACCTTGCTTCTCAGAATGAATCAAGCCCCTTGAAATAATGGGCTACTGTTTTTGTGTCTTCAACTCCTGTACGTGGTGTAAGACCCAGTACATCAGTGTATCAGGTGTCGACTGAATTAATGATTGAGTGTCCTTCAGCCCGCATCCTACTCTCCTTATCCGGGAAGACTCAAAGTCTAATGGGATGTAATATAGAATTGGGATAGAAAGATACGTAGCTGTGCCCTAAAATGAAGTGGATCCTAGGATATCTCAAGGCTCCTGATGGTTAGGAAAATTGACTGAGGAAGATAAGGGCAGAAGATGAATTTATGCCCCCTTCTGTATTTCAGCATGTGGTATTTCACCTTCTTACAGTTGTTTATTCTAAATAATGGGTTTGTCTCTTTGTCTGTTGTATCCAGCCTACTTGACATTTCTATAGTTGCTTCTTATCCCTGTCTCCAGATCTTCCTTCTTCATGGTTCCTTCCTTCTGAGGATGAACCAGGACCCTGAGGAAGTTGGGTTATTCCAGAGTGTTGTCTCTTCTGGCCCTCCACTTCTCTTTGGGTTCCCATTCTTTCTTCCCTTCAGGTAGTCTGATCTCTCAAGCCTTACTACCAGCTAGCTGCCTGTTCCCATTACCTGTTCCACCTCAGATAACTGTACATCCTCCACCTCGTGATTTCCACACTGGTACATGAGAACAAGCGAATCTAAAACCTGTGCCAAGATAAGCGTGAGAGTCACCGGTTGGGGGTCAGAATAGCCCCTCACTGTTAGCGTCAGAGTTCATTAAGGTACCTGCTTCTCGGATTTTCTTTAAATAGGCCTTTGACTCTTGATAGCTTCATGCAGATTTCCCCAAGCTGTTTATTTAATGGCCCAGTCACCTCATGTCAGACAACTCCATTGCAGAGGTATGCTTAAGGCCTCAGAACTGACTTTAATATTAACTTAAGCCAGACTTAATTATGAGGGAAATTAGTCACAGAAAGAATCATCCAATGTTTGTCAAAGGCAATTGTATGCTTACCAATAAACTCTTTAAAAATGAATCTCCGCATATGACATTTCCATTTTATTACTATGAAGTGATGAGAGCCTGTCAAAGTTGATTATAGATATTCTTTGTATTATCTGTCATTTGGGTTCTCCATGGACGTGTTAGCCTTGATTAGCTCTTTGGTGGCATCTGACTAGACTGTGATTTCCTACCATCAGTTGCTGAAGCAGTTTTGTCAAGAAGCCGGTAGTTTTGTTTTTTTAAAAAGTGTTATGTTACCAGGCTTTATAACTCTTAGCCACAGCCTAGCCTTTTCTTGAATGAGTCAATTGTGATAAGTCTCAGCAAGATATGATTGTCAAATGGAAAGTGGTTGAACAGATTCCTAGGAATCAGTTAGTTAATAGGCCTTTGTGGAGCACCCCGTAGGTGGTGAGCTATGAGGGTTTCAGAATTAGTGTAAAATGTATTTATTTCTCCAGGAGCCGTTTGTAGAGTGAGCTCGTCCCTTAGGGTGGCCATACCTTGGTGTGGTCTTCAGCTCTGGATGGCCCCAACACCTGGGTTACTGTGCTTGATTTAGAAATTTATTGTGAGAAATAAAACTACCAAATAGCTCTCTTTTGTCCAGCCATTCTGGAAAGAATACTTATACTGCTAATCAACATATTCTCCCCGATAGGAAATTATCGATGGAAGCACATGATCAAAATAGCTACCATTTACTAAGGTCCTGCTATGTGTCAAGCTCTTTATATACTTTATATTCATTTAAGCCTTACAAAAAGGCTCTAGAGGGAGGTATTATGCCCATTTTGCAGCTGAGGATGGTGAGGCTTAATAAGGATAAGTGACTTGCCCAGCCAAGTGCAAAAGGAGATGGGTGAAGCCTGAAGTCATTATACTCTTTAGTCTCTCTTGGTCCCCTGGCTCCTAGGTTCTCTATCCCGATTCAGATTAAGGTTTCTTGGTTGTCCTGTTTCCAAAGATAGGTCATCTGAACACACAAATTGCACCAAAACCCAATTTCAAAATGTATAAAGCAACATATTTAATTTTTCAAATTTGCCACAATAGGTTTTATTGCTTATCTGAGTGGGCTTGGGGGTGACAGAGCTACTGGTGACATAATGGAAGAGGTGATATAGAAGTAATTAGTCCTGACATTCTAGATTCCAGTGGGAAAACACAAAGGGCATGATTTGTGATCTCCAGATGTTAACATTGTTAGCATTTCATGTTGACTCTTTGATTTCATGCGGATAACCTCCTGAGAATGTTACCTATTACCATAAAATCTTGGTGCTCCAAAGATAAAAATCGGTTTGTGGAATATTTAGCAAGAAATTCACCATTCATTTAGGGAAAGTGAGACTGGAGGCTAGGTATCTTGCCTAAGTCTGCATAACCAGTTGGATGAAGTATTTCTATAAATTCCCATTGAACTAGAGGTACTTTTCCTCTCAGCATTTCACCAAAAAAAACACCTCATCATAATAACGTATCAGGCAGAAAGTCATTAGTTATTCAACTTTTCAACTTGTCTTTCTGCAAACAACTTGCATTAAAATAGATTCCTCTTACTATGTTTTGGATTTTGTTTTTATTTTCCTTTGCCTTGAAGGTTGTCCCTGTGTTTTACAGAGCTACATGTGCTCAGCTTCTGTATTTTCTGATTGCCTTCTTAGCCACATTGTCCTTAAAACTACAGCTTTCATCCCCCATACCTTCTTCTTTTTGTATTGCCATTAAAGTGACACAATACAGAGCATGGTGTAAAGTCAGTTTTCAGGCCTTCTTTTCTGCAAAGATGATTATACCTGTCCAGTTATGTTATGGTTTCTGTGACCTGTCTAAACCAAAGTGGTAGCATGGAAACTAGAGATTTAATTTTGTTTTTAGATCCCTTTTAGAAATCTACTCTCTGCATTTCTTCAATACCAGCTCATTCTTTCTCAGCCTGACTTCTGCTCATGTTGCTTTATTGAAAATGCTTTTTCAGGATGACTAATGACCCCACTAGTCAACACACCTAGCTGAGTTTTTCTCAGTCCGTATTCTTAACTGTTTGACACACCATCCTCCTGGAAACTCGGCCCTCTTTTGACTTTACCAATATTATGTTCTCTTTATTTTATGCGTCAATTTCTGTGGTTGCTCTTCAGTTGCCTTTCTTGAGTTTTCTTCCAGCCCATGTGATAGGGGAACCCCATTGCTCCAGCTATTCCTCTTCTCTGCTCATCAAAGGAAGCCTGGATTTCTACTTTTTGCCTAACTCTCCTGAACTGTAGTTGTGCATGTACAGCTCTCAGCTAAACATCTCTGCTTGAATGTCCCCCATCTTTTGTCTTGGTCATCTTAGACTGCCGTAACAAAAATATCACAGCCTGGGTGGCTTAAACAACAGACATTATTTCTCACAGTTTTGAAGGCTATGAAGTCTAAGATCAAGGTGGCGGCAGATCCGGTGTCTGGTGAGGGCCCACGTTCTGGGTTGTGGATGGTCATCTTCTCATTGTATCCTCACATGGCCAAGAGATCATCTCTCTCATCCCTTTTTACGAGGGCACTGATCTCATTCATGACGGCTCCACTCTCATGACCTAATTACCTTCCCAAAGATCCCACCTCCAAATACCATCACAGTAGGGCTTAGGGGCTTCAACATAAGAATTTGGGAGGGACACAGACATTCAGTTCATAGGACTTTTAAACTCAAAAATCTAAATTTCAACCCATCGTTTTTACCCCAAACCAATCATTCCATCCCATCCACTTCCAAATTTCCATCCAACGTGCCATCAGTCTCACGCAGAATGACAGCCAGTTAACTTTCGAACATCTTTTTTCAACAAACACACAGTTGTTGAAAGTTCTTCCTTCATAATTCTCTCATGTCTTTCCCTTCCTTGCCCTACGTCATCCTAGTTTAGGCCTTTCTGCATCAGGCCTGTACTAGTGGGTCCCTACTGGATTTTTCCATCATTCTGGGTTCTTTTGCCCTCCAATTCCCTTTATAGAGTGCTGCTTGAAAAGCTTTCCAGAGCACACATTAACCTTTCTCTCAAGTTCAGGATCGATGGTGATGGTATGATGGTGACAAACTACCAAGAATGCTCAGTGGCTTCTTAGTGCCTTCAAGATAATGTCCAAACTCTTTACACTGCCACACAAACTTCTCTACACTCGGGATGATGCCCCTCAGACTCGATTCACCCTACCTCCCCAATGTCCCCAATTTGCCTACATAAAGAAGCCCCTACACACCAGAGTACTTGTTTTCCTCCTCACAACTCAAACACTTTGTCAGCTGTATGTGTATTTTTAATACCATTTTCCTGTCTAGAATATTCCTCTACACTCATTCATACTTTTCTTAATTTTCAAAGCCCAGCTTAAGACCAGCGTTTTCTAAAAGTTTTAAGACCTCCTGGTCCTAAATTATCACATCTGCCTAAAAAGGTCTATAGCTAAGGTAACTGTGTAATTTATCATCCAGACCAGGACATTTTTGGGAGTGAAAAGGGGTATCATCACAAATAAAGCCAGGACAACAGAAATATAGCAGGACTTCTGTGGAAAAACTGGGACCTATGTCACTCTGTCTACAGCTCATATGTTTTGTTTGTACTTCCCATTCAGCCCTTGGTACTTATTATCTTGTATTGTTATTAATGCTCTTATAACTATGTCCTGACTCCCCACGAAGTCCATCCTCTAAGCAGTTACAATATGCCTTACACTTCCTCACATTCCTAGAACCTAGTTTTTTGCCATATATTTAATAGATACTAAATTCTGTTTGTTAACTAGAATGCTGGTGGAAATCATTACTTAGCAATTTTTACCTTATATTTAGCAAGGGGTTTGCCAGGGAGATATAATGTTTAATTTGTTCTCTCTAATTTAGCTTATTGACATGTGCGTGCAGAACTGTGGTCCGAGTTTCCAATCTCTGATTGTGAAGAAGGAATTCATTAAAGATAGTCTAGTTAAGCTGCTAAATCCCAGATACACCTTGCCGTTACACATTCAGAATAGAATCTTGAATTTCATTAAGGTAAGTCGGTTGTATGCCTTATGGGATGGTAAACTTCTAAGATTAAAGATTTAATTACATACCTCCTAATTGAGTGATCCTTTACAAACCTAGAATTGAACCGGAAAGCATTTTTACTATTTTATTTTCCGTGTAATAATCATTTCTTGACATTGGATAGTGCCGTTATGAAGAATTTGTAGTCTGTTCCCTCCTTTTCTCTGTTTCTATTTTATCCACGTCAGGTGGGAAAGAGTGTAATGTGTACCTCCATTTTGCAGGTATGGAAACTATGCTCTGAAGTAGAGAACGGACTACTTTCAGAGTTGCTTGGCAAAAGAGCTACTGATGCTATTTTAGAATCTTTCTATTAATTCTGGGTTTAGTACAGCAAAAAAAAATCGATAGTATCTATTCCAGGGCTTCATTAAAATGTTGAGGCATGGGAGTCTGCTGATTAAAAAGATGTTATTATTCTGGTCTTTGAAAATGTGCATTTTGTCCATGGCATTCAACAGTAGCTTACGGAAAGCTGAGATACATAATTGTCAGTTTCTCATTTGCTGTGCCCAGCTTAAGAATTGTGTTTTGGTTTTGCTGCTGTTTTGACTCTGGAACTTTCCATCTCTTGAATTCAGACTTGGTCACAGGGTTTCCCAGGAGGCGTGGACGTAAGTGAAGTGAAAGAAGTGTACCTTGACCTGCTTAAGAAAGGTGTTCGGTTTCCTCCCACAGAGATAGAGGCTGAAACAGCAGGACTAGAGGTAGGAGGCCTTTCTTTGACCTTGTAGAGTAAGGTAGTGGGTTACGTGGGTCTTTTCTCATTGAAAGGGACACCCCTAGCTCCATCTAGCTTAAGCTAAAAGACTAATTTATGAGGTTACCGTGATTTCTCCTAGAATAACCAAGCCGTGAGAGAGTTGGTGTTAGTTGGATCTTTGGAATGGCAGAGAACCAAGCACTCAAATGCCTTGTTGCTTGTCTGCTTCTCTTTGATCACCAGCTTCATTCTTCTCTCTCATTACAGATTAGCTTTTTCCACACAGTAGACAACATAGCTCCCAAATTTTCATGTTACAGCTTTCGTTTTGTCAGGTTCCAAGCTCAAAAACTTTGGCGAAGGGACTCATTGAACCAACCTGAGTCAGTTTTCTATTTCTGCACAAATCAACTGAGGTCATCTAAGAACATGGGGGCTCCAAAAGAAAATCATTTGGATATAGTAGAGGAGGGGGGCAGTTTTCGAAAGAAAGGGTTGGTGCTAGGTAGGCAAGGGTCTCTACCACAGGTGGTCATATAATAAACTTATTATTAATACTGTGCCCATGGAGGAGTTTCTAGATATTCACATGTATTCATTCTCAAGTTTGCAAATAATTTTCAAGGTTTTGAACTTATAATACTTTGAGTGGCTGATTATAATTCAACTCCTAACTTTCTGTAATTTCCATGATGTGAAACAGCAGTTCTTCTCTTCTATAGATAGATCAATCCTGCTTTGGTGGAATAAGCAATTCAGGTATATACTGGAAGTCTGATCTTCATGGAGGCATTGTTCTGAGGGCTAACTCTTCTATTTGTGCAGGCTGCTCCTGGCCATTAGCCCCTTGCCCCATCCTATTGTCCAACCAGGAGCTTGCTCACCATACCCCTTTTTCTCTTTCTTCCAAGGCACAATATAGTGGAGGCCTAGGATCTTGCTACTCAAAATATGACTTGGGGTATAATCTGGGAGCTTGTTAAGTATATTCAATCAACTCAGTCAAACTCTTCATTTTTACAAGATTTCCAGGTGACTTATTGGCACATTAATCTCCAGAAGCACTGGCCTAGGGCCTCTGCTTTGGGCTCTCTACCCAAGGATGGAAATGAGGTATTGACTCTGGTAGTATTCATTGGTGGAGAAGGAGATGCCTTGCCAGCTGTGGCTTAAAAAGACTTGACACAGGGCTGGCCCCGTGGCTTAGCGGTTCAGTGCGTGCGCTCCGCTGCTGGCGGCCCATGTTCAGATCCCGGGCGCGCACAGATGCACCGCTTCTCCGGCCATGCTGAGGCCGCGTCCCACATACAGCAACTAGAAGGATGTGCAGCTGTGATGTACAACTATCTACTGGGGCTTTGGGGGAAATAAATAAAAATTAAAAAAAAAACAAACTTGACATAAATTATTTTTAACAACCCAAAGAGAGGGCAGCAATGATCCCACATGACCTTTTATCGTGTAGACCCTTGGTGTAAACTAAGAGCATGTTATTTAATTTTAATTTAGTTAATAATCAGTAGCAGCCACCTGTCATTGAATACTTTCTCTGTTGTGGGCACACCATTTGCTTAGCAGTCTTCTCAAAATGCTGGTCAGGTTGTACACTTGAAGATTTACTGTGGGCTAACACCCCCCACCCAGGACTTTGGTTGAGGGAAAGTGATTGAGTCATCTGAATGGAAAAACTGGGCTTGGGTGGCTATGTTAAATCAAATAATAATATTTCCATATTTCCTACTGGTGGGCTGCCCAGATCTCATCGGATCCACCAGCATCTGTTCCTACTGCACCAGCTCTTCCTTCTGTAATTGCTCCCAAGAACTCGACTATCACATTGGTCCCAGAACAGGTAACAATAGCAACAACTATATTTATTGTTGGCTCTTTCTACGTTCTAAGCACTTTATATACAGTTTGTTTCTTCTTCTTAACAACATTATGAGGTGGAGGTACGTTATTACCCTCATTTTACGGAGGAGGGACTGAAGCTTAGTGATGCTGTGTGACTTATAATGGTTCAATTCTAAGTGGGATTATTACCTTGGATTCTGTCTTATTCTAAAGCCCAAGCTCTTAACAGTTGTGCTCAGCTAGTGGCTTTCATGTCTTTGTGGAGACTGGGCTGTGGACACAACGGCTCTTGTGTCCACCAGCTGATTCCTGTTGCTCCTAATAGGACTGCCCATGTACCATTTCAGAGTTCAGTAAGTGGTAGCCTTATTACTAGTATTAATTGTGCAACTGAATTCCATTTACTTGTTTATATCTGTTTATCAAAGGTCCAGAGAAGCAATATCATATGAAGCTCATTTCTGTCCTGCTATAAGGGAACTATCATTGAAGACTTTGTATTATTATTATTCAGTATTATATAAAAGTTCATGCCATTAATTCCTCTTAGGATTTAATCCAGGAAGGAAAAAAGTGTTTCTCTTTTGATTCTTCCTTCCCTAATGCCATGAAAAATATAAAACCTGTTTTTTTCCACTGCTTGCCAAGAAACCCAGACAAACATTTGCCATTTTGTCCAGGTTCCTGGTATAGTCACCTTCCTCCTTCTCCATATTGGTTCTAATCTGGCTTTTTTCCCCCTTCATTTTTAACTTTCCTAAACCTTATGTTTGGATTTATTACAAGAGATCTCAAGTCCTTTTAGGAAGTGACAGATTATGTGTTTGTAAAGTAATTATATGTATATTTATATTAATTTAAATATAAATTTGAAAATGTTGAGTTTTGCAAAAGCATTTTCTCTTCCAACAAATGTCTCCTGAGAGAAAGAAACAGGTAGCCCTTCTTCATGTGTCACACATACTGACTGGTGATTGTGTTGCTCTCTACAGATTGGAAAATTGCACAGTGAGTTGGATATGGTGAAAATGAATGTGAGAGTGATGTCCGCCATATTGATGGAGAATGTTCCTGGATCGGAAAATCGTGAAGACATAGAGCTTCTGCAGGTGTAGTATGATTGCAGGGACACTCAAAGTGTCTCTTAAAATTATTCTCTAAACTTAGAGCCTTGGAAATGGAAGATACCTTAACATTGTCTAGTCCATCCTCCTGCATCTTCAGTTTATTTCTAAACTTAACAAAAAGATGCAAGGATGACTTTATCAGAAATGCAGTAGTAACTTAAACATGGTCCTTATTCTCTTGCAACAAGTAATTTACCATCATTTAATCATTTATAGTCTTGGTCATATACAATGTCTTATTAGTCTCGAGTTGTTTTAAATGTGTAAAGGTTGCCTTTATCCATGCATTCAACAAACACTGAATAACTGCAGTGTGGTAAACGATATAGAGATGAAGAGGATGTCCTAGTTCTCAAGGTACTTATGTCTAGTGAACAAGATTGTTTTGTAAACAACTTGTTTAATAAAGTATTATAGATGTTATAATAGAAATTTGTTTATTATATGGTGGGATCAGGGCTGGGGGCAAGGAGAAAGGTGAGGATTTTTGGAACTATTTAGATTGAGGCAGTACTCGGGCTTTGGAGGAATAAGTGGACAGTGCATTTGGACCTGTGTGAGCATGTGAAGAAAACCATGAGCAGTTCATTATTACTGGAGCGATGGCCCTCCTAGGCTTTTTTCTATGTCTGTACATCCATACGCTCTACTTTTTTCCCCTCTAATGATTTGTTCTAATGATCAATTTTATATTTTAACACACCTATTAACATATTAATTTTAGAACTCGTTAGGAAAAAGAATCAGTTTCTAAATCTTTTTCCCAAATAAGTTAAGAACCTTGTCATATTTTTACTTGTCTTGGATTCCCACTCCCCACTTCTCCTGTTGGTGTTATCTTTCCTTTAACTTCTTAGATTGTTAGTAAATAACATTTTTCTAAATCATTGCTTATTTGGGAAACAATAAGTTGTAAAACTTGACTCGCTCAACATTGCTTCTTGTGTATTACTGCTATCTCCTTGAATCATTACTCTTGGTAAACTTGGAGTGTTTCCTGTCCAAAAATGTCTTTTTGCTCCCATGTTAAGTTCCAGTAGTTTGGCTAGATACAGAATCCTAGATACAAAATTCTTTTCCTTAAATCCTTCGAAGAGACTGCTCCATTGTTATCTCGCACCCAGTGATGCTGATGAGAATCTGATATTATTGATCCTTGCACTTTTGTTTTATAATCTGTTTTTTTTTTCTGGTTGCATTTGCGATTTCTCTTTACCGTATCGTTTTTGAAATTTCGCTACACTGTCTGGGGATATGTGTGCATGTATGTGCATGTGTGTATTTTTTTACCTATCCTGCTTAGTACTTAATAGGCCCTTTTGCCCTGTCAACTTGCATATATTTTAATTCTGGGAAATTCTGAGTTCTTCAAATATTTCTTTTCTACCATCTTTCTATTCTTTTCCTATGGAACTTTTTTCAGATGATGAAACTTCCAGTTATGTTTTTCTTATCTCTTAACATTTTTTAAGTACTTTCCATTTCTTCATTCTTTTGGGCTGTAGTTCTAGGAAATTTTCTCTATTTCATGTATTATTTCTCTGAAACTTGTATATCAGATTGGCTATTCAGCCCTTCTAAGGAATGTTTAATTTCAACAAGTATGTTTTTTATTTTTAAAAAATCTATTTAGATTTTTGTGAGTTCTTTTTTTCCATGGATGTGCTTTCCCCTTTTATCTTCCTAAGGATAGTAGTTCTTTTTAAAGTTGCTTTTTGATTTGCTCTATGGATTTTCCTCCCTTGGGTGCAAATTCTTTTGTTTATCCCTTCTTTCATTTGCGTTCCTCAAATATCTGGCTGGATTGCTGATAGTGAACTCATTTTTGGGTGAAGTTCCCTGGCAGCTGGTCTGCATTTTCTGTGACCTAGCTCACCTGTGCCGAGGGGAGGACACAATTGCTGCAGCATGTGTTTGGTGCTGTTTTCAGAGTAGGTGGGATTGGCATGGGATGATGCTGGGTGGGATGTGTTGGTAGCTGGTCTTCTGAGTTACGTGCTTCCTATTTTTCCTAGATGCTACCGGCAACTAGAACTAATACCCTATGCCTCTGTCCCAAGCATTGCTCCCACCTGGAAACAGACACTCCTGTCTCCTTACCTCAACTCTGTTAGCTGCCCTTCGTGCCATCTTGTTCCAGCTCCCACAGTCTATAGGTGCAGAGTGTCCTTCATTTTCCTTCCATGTTCTGTGGTGGTACTCACTGTGGGCAGTCTTGAATGTCCCGGATTGTGCTTTCCTCTAATCTACGAGTCAGCAAACTGGCCCGTGGGCCACATGCAGGCCTCAGTCTGTTTTCGTGCTGGCTGTGAACTCAGAATGGCTTTTACATTTTTAAAGAGTTGTTTAAAAAAAAAAAAAAAGGCCATTTCTCAAGCTGTATCTAAGTCAGCCTACCTCCAGAGACCACTAGGGAGTCAGACACACCTCTTAAGAAACTCCTCACCACCCTGCACCCACTATTAGTTGATTTGAGTTTGTGGTATCTCTCAGGGACGTAGGGATGACAAAAGGACTTAACACCACAGCTTGGGAGCGTAAAGTTCCAGGTATGGAATGGTAAGAGCTGGTCTATGCAGGTTATTGAGGGCCCCATAGGCCATGCCAGAGTGGGCTTAACTCAGAGAGCAGAAGGGAGCCATTAAAGGGACGTAAGCTGAAGGACTGCATAACCAGATAACATTTGAGAAAGATTCCTCTGATGATATTAAGGTAATAAATTCTGTGGGAAGCAAGACAAAACTCTAGGAAACAATTTAAGATAGCACTTCCCACTGGTCTTATGCTGTATTCTGTGGGGGTGAAATGCTATCTATGGTCAAAGTTTGTAAAACCAATTGCCTACCGTATTTCTCCTCTTGGAGGTGTTAGAGAGCAAGAGCTCTCTCCACCCGATGTGCACAGAAGCCAGTACCATGGAACACCGGTCTTTGAGGGAAGAAAGTTTATTATGCAATTTATTGGTAAGGAGACAGAAGGAAGGCTCTCGACTCTTGTCTCTCTGATCCAGGGTATAGGGTAAAGTTTAAGGGCTCAGGGAGGACAGGCTGGTATGCGAAAGCGCTGGCAGGATGAGTTTCGATTGGCAGATCAAAATTTTCTCTTCTGTGCACACTCCTGGCTGGCTCACAGCCCCTGAAAAATAGCCTTAACATTCTGTCGTTAAGATGAGGTCAGCACAGTAAGCAAGGGTAAAGTTGTTATGCAGATTTAAGTCACTGCCTTCTCTATTGATAAGAGTTTCTAGAGATTTAGTTGCCTTCTCCTTCCTGGCTCAGAGAAGTAAGGCACTCTTACAAATGGAGATTTCTCTTATAAATGTAAATTTCCCTTACAAATGGGTAACTTCTACTATGTTTTCAGAGCTTTCCTTGTGTCTGTTTTTTTTTTTTTTTTTTTTTAAGTAATCAGCCCCAGATAATTTTTTATACCAAAGAGGCATGTTTTGGAGTGGCAAATTCTGTTCCTTGTCCTGTGGTTACAAATCCCCACTTTTGTTGTTCATTCTTCAGTCTTGAGGGAAATCTGGTGACCACCCCTCTAGCTGCTTCCTACTGATAAGGGGCATAGGCTTAACAGGGGCTTGAGAAATGAAATTGTTTAGCTTTTAATTGTAAATACTCATGAGTCCCATGTTGTAATCTGGTTGTTGCGTTATGGGGCTCCTTTTATGATCATGACTGAGCATGGGGAATAGATTTTTAGATATGAGAAACACAGCAAGTGCAGGGTTTGACAAGGAGGAATATAAATCCTAGTAGACATAACATTATGATACGTAACTTAATCAATCCCTCAAATATAGACTTTATTCCTGACAGGATCCATGAGAAAATATTGTTCAAGAGATCAAACTCAGGTTCTTGGGGTGACACTTGTTGGAACCAAGTTGCCTCTTGTCTAATTTTGTCTATGTGAGTTTCAACCTCTGAGGAGGTGTTGATATAGACGCAACAGGAAGAATTTGCTACAGCACAAACACCTCCTTATTCACCTAGGTTGTAATCTAAAGCAATCTGGTTATCTAATACTGCTTTAGCTAAGGAACCTGATGCTTTCTGTTGGGAAGCTACGGCTTGGGCCACTTCCCTGGTTACTACTCCTAAGGTGAGAGAGCGATTTCTAATCATATGTTCATAAGCTGCCACACCCCACCAGGTAATAAGGTTCATCTAAAGAAATATGCATCAGAGTCTTCCTGGTATCCAGGCAAATATTTGTCTGGTGTTCTCAAGATCGAATCTTCATCTAATATAGGTCTTTTAGTTCTAGCGAAAAGTTTTAAGGAACTAGTCCAGGGCTGGGCTTCGCTTGAGTTATGTATAGAGAAACGAGTGACTAAATATCCTAATAGACAGGTACCTCCTCTGTGCCAGCTATCAAGGCAATTGTAGGCCCAGTGTTGACGATTGGATCCACAGACAAAGACATACCCTTAGGGGGCACATAGGATACCTTAGTCATGTTGTTAAAATTCAGGCTTTCATTTTTGGGGATTTTATCTAGGATCTGGTCAAGCCAGGGGTCAGTGCAAGGCAGTATCCAGGAGGAAGAATTTAATCCACAGGTTGGTATAGAATTGGGTGTTGCATAAAGAAACACTTTTTTTTTTTAATTAAAATCCTGACATAATTGGGTGGGCTTATAATTTGGATCTCGCCAGCACCTTTCCTCGACCAGATAGTGGGAAATAGGAACCGAGAAGGTAAGTATCATTGAGTGTGCAGGTGAGTATGGTCTGTCCGTTAGTTCATTTCCGGTCTTGACGGCTCTGGGTTCTTTTGTCCTTACATTCTTCTCCAGTAACCATCATAGGCTGCATTTTGGGGGCCATTATAAAGAAACATGGGACAGGAAATCCTCTGTCGATTAACCTGACCCCTCTATAGGTTACCTCTGAAGGTTTCATATCATAAGTCACAGTCCAATCAGGTATACTTGAGAAATTGACTATTTCTTGACAAATCACTTGATTTCTTGAG